CCACATCTATCAAGTCAGACTAGGGGTGGAGCCCAGAAATCTAATTCAATAAACTCAAATGATTCTAATGCTCACTGAAATTTGATAACTGCTATCCTAGATTTATTATGTGGATAGAATTAAAAACTTCACAGATTTCCTACCTGACGGTGAGAGAGGAGGACCAGAGAGCATCTGAACAGATGAAAGCCCTTGGGTCACCACTATTCTGGCTTTTTCCCTGAAGGGAAATAATCAAGATTACAAAAAAAAAGGTGAGCTTTTCTCTGAAGACCATTTTCTTGCTCATGGTTTTCTTTAAATGTTTAGACTTGATCTTAACGTTTATGGAAACTTTAATGTGTATATGCAATGTAACCAAATAAAAGAATAAATGAGAAAGCCAGATCAGAGAAAAAAAAATGAAATGAAGAAAAATGAGATAAGTGTTGGTAACCGTTTAGCACATAGTCAACATTCGAGAAAGACAAATTGTTCTCCAGCTTTTCTTTCTATTGTTTTCTGTAAAAAATAATCTCTATTCTCTCTGTTCTCTGATTTCCCTTTAACTATGTGATGATATGATTTAAAACATTTCTTAAAAAATATTTGTTGAGCATCTAGAATGTCAGGTGCAGATACATCTAAGGAACTCTATAATTTCTTGTGGATGGAGAGTGAGCAACAAATACATTTGTTCATACATAAAATTAGATATGGAAGAAAATGAGAGGATATGAATGGTGGGAGGGTATTTGCATTTGGGTACTTCTAAAAGGGCCTCTCTAAAGTGGCATTTGAGCTGAGAACTGAAGAGAAGAAAAAAGGAACTAGAATTATAAAAATATGAGAAAAGCATTGCCAAGTTTAAAGAGCACAGATGAATTTATTATCATACCTGGAATGGACAATGGTCCAGGGGAAGCTGGAGGTGACATTATATGTAAGTAGGGAGATCACAGAGAATTGGTCAGCCACTTGGATTTTATCCTAAATGTAATGGATAAAAAAGTTGCTAGAAACCTTAATTTAGGTTTAAAATAGTACTCTGGTTGAACCAAGGAGATGGAAGTGCGAGCGGGGGAGGGCTGAACATAAACTAGTTGAGCTGTTCTAAAGGAACACATTTTAAAGTGAGCTGGGGAAGAGAAGGTATTGTTTGAAACTCTGAATACTGTTTTGGATATGGGAATATGGGGCACTTATTTGACATTTAATTGCAAATGAGTTGGAAGTCTTGTATTTAGGTAGAAGATTAAATTGGAGGAAGTGATTTTTGGATAGGTGATCATCTGCAGAGACAACTGGAAATAGAATAAGGGATCAGAATTGACCCTTGAAGCACCCCAAAACTTAGAGGTACAAAAGGATGTGAGGTCAAAAAGGGATGCTGAGAAGCAGACCAGTAAAGTGGGAGGGGTATCAGATCTCTAATCTTGATAGCAAAGAGAAGGAAATGTTCCAAGGAGAGGGTCATGGTCAACTTTGTTAACTGCTGCTGAGAAAGTCAAGTAAGATAAAGCCAGAAGCAGCTGCTGAATTGTAAACGTGTTCATTTTACAACCGATCAGTCTTTTCAGTTGAGTTGTCTAGGACATGTTCAGGCAAAACACGGGAAACTACAAAGAAGGTTGAAGACTCAAGTGGCAAAAAAAGGAAATTGGAGCAAATTCAAAGTGGATGGCAAGTAGAGAGAAAATATTTGCTATTTGTGTATTAACAAGGGAATGATATTTTCAATGTATAAATATCTCTTAAAATTAAAGGGAAAAACCTAGTAAAAGAAAATGAGTAAAAGGCTGAAACATGGTTCACAGAAAAAGAAATAAAAATGGTTCTTCAGCATATGAAAATAAAATGTAGGGGCTCCTGGGCGACACAGTCAGTTAAGCAGCCAACACTTGATTTTGGCACAGGTCATGATCTCTGGGGTCAAGATATCGAGGTCCATGGTGGAAAGCGCAGAGTTGGCTTGAGATTCTTTCCCTTTCAGTCTGCCCCTCCTGCTGCTGCTCAGACTCACACACTCTTTCTCTAAAATAAGTAAATAAATCTTAAAAAAAAAAAAGGGAACTGAATGTATGTAAAAATACCATTTCTCACCTACCTAGTGGGTAAAAAGTTTGACATCTTTCTCATATGTTGCTTGGAATGCAAAATTGTGCAAACTTGTGGTTGGGACTCCAGCAAAATGTACCAAAATTATAGATTAGGTATATTTTCATCAGGAATCCCATTTCTAAGGACTATACCCTTTAATACAAGAGTTCTGAACTTTGGTCTTTTGTGCTTTGCACTCAAATTATTGATGAAGACCAAAAAAAAAAAAAAACAAAACAAAAAAAACATTTTGTGTGTTGCACCTATCTGTAGTCACTGTATTTAGAAATTAAAACTGAGTTTTTAAAAACATGTGTTAATTTATTAAAAGTAAAAATAACATTTTTAATGAGGAATCCCCTCTGAGCAGTTACTAAAAAGAATGGCCTGGTTTTACAATCTTGGAAATCTCTAATTTTTGGTTCATCAGACAGCTATTATTATCTGCTCCAGCATTTAATCTATTGCAATACTATTTTACTTAAAATATATGAAGAGCATCTGTCCTCACACAAGCACATTGTTGGAAAAGGAGAACATATTCCAATAGCCTTTCTCCAATAATTGTGACTTTTCTTCCTGAAGTCATCAATGAATGTTTCCTTATATTAAAATCCATTGGTGTATCTTATACTCTGCATCCACATTTTACCCTTGCATAATCTTATAACATCATGTGTTGGTCTTTCAGAAAATATTGGTTCACTGAGTTTTCAGACTTTCCAAATGTTGACATACTTCAATATTCAATATCCAAGTCACATTTGTTAATATCACCACCAATTTTATCAGAAAAGAAGCTATCAAAGTCTTGGGGAGCTGTCAAGCTTACAATAGTGGATACAAGTTTTCCAAAGCCAGAATTTTATCATTGACAAGTAAGACGCTCAGTTGGTTTCCTTGAAATGACAAGGTCACTCTGTTAGTGTTATCTTCCAAATTGCTACATTCCTGAATAACCACATTTGTCTCATTTGTTCTTTCAACAAAAAATGTGCTATGAAAAAAACATGGCTAGTATGGCGTATAATTCAGTTAATAGAAAGTGTTTTTTTTCTCTGGATAACCACTGTAATCCCGTATGCATCCTAAGTGCTTTATGCATAATTTTCCATTTTGTCACCCAGAATAGTAACTAAATCCTGTACTCCAAAGTTGAATTATCTTGCTTCATCAAGAAATTAAGAATACCCCTAAGCAGAAAAAAAAATTTGCAAGTGTGTAGAAATTGAAAAATACAATACATGACAACAGTTGGTATTACTTCCTCGACTAATGGTAAGATGCCAACAGTTTTATCTACTATCAGTGTAAATGTCAGTAAAAAAAAAAAAAAAAAAAGTGAATCAGGTCTTGGGAACTACATTTTGAAAACTGCTGCTTTAGTATCCTAACAAATAACAAAGTCATCCTATATATATATATAATTAATTAACTTCAGAATCATAAAATGTTGCATATCCTAAAAATGAGGTGTGAAAGGGCAGCAGGTGTAGTCGGTGGCCAGGTTTCAGGGGTAGTGAGAGCATGAGGGGGGGGGCGAGAAGCTAGTGAATCCGCAAAGGCAAGTCTGGGGGTTCTGAGGCCTGCCAGGTTGATGTGCTTCAGGAGACTGAAGTCTGAGGAGCTGGTCAAAGAGATGGAATGGGAACAAATGTAAATAGGAATGAGGAGATACATATATGCTATTAGTACTTTGTGCTGTGGTGTGAATGACCGCTGCGACAACAGCTGGAGATGGGATTAGAAAGAACGAGAGCAAGGCCAATTCATTGGAGGAACAGTTTCCCCGATTCCCCCTTTAAGATAATTACAGTGTTTCTGGAGAAGGGAGAATTCTTTGCTCAAGGGTTATCGGGATTGTCTGGAAATGGGGATGCAGGAGATTAAGGATGCCTTGTTCTGTTTCTCTAATTTGGAAAAAGAAAAAAGAAAAAAAAAAAGGAAGAGAAAAAGAAAAAGGCAGTTTCCCTTTAGTATTTCTGGAAGTTTTTTTTTTTCTTTTAATATTTTATTTATTTATTCATGAGAGACAGAGAGAGAGAGAGAGAGAGAGAGAGAGAGGCAGAGACACAGGCAGAGGGAGAAGCAGGCTCCATGCACGGGAGCCCGACCTGGGACTCGATCCCAGGACTCCAGGATCACGCCCTGGGCTGAAGGCAGGCTCCAGACCTCTGAGCCACCTGGGCTGCCCTTTGGAAAGTTTTTATTTGGGGGGGGGGGTTGCCTTTATATATTTTTAACCGATTATCTTTATTCACTGGCCTACTCTCAGTCAACACTTGCCTTGCGCTGTGCGCACCACACTCACGAGTCGCCCCCACCGGAGGCGCCTGCACATTTACAAGAGCTGGAAAATGGGCGCCTCCTTAGACTTGGACCCCGGGTGCCGCTCCCCCTTAAGGAGGCACTGGAAAGCGGCCGGCATATAATGGTCGGTGCAAGCCCCCAGAGAGGGCGTGCGTCCTTAAATGTTTAAAGCCTGGCTTTGCCTCTCTTGAGGTCCCGGAAGTGCCTCCCAAGCTTATGAATGTGGCATCCCTTTAAGGGAGGACCTTTTCTTCTTTCTTTTTTTCTTTTCCTGTCTTTTTCCTTTTTTCAACGCCTTATAGGAAAACGGTATGCTGTGTGCTCACTCGTGACCATATTCTCCGCCATTGGCTCTAAATTCTCAGGAAACTTGAGAGCCCCTCCAGTCTGCGGCTGAGCACCTGGTGGCTGCGGACCTGCCAGTCGGGGTGGGGGTCAGGGGTCAGGGGTCGGGGGTCGGGGGTGGGGGTGGGGCGGAAAGCACCCACCTGCTCTGGTGCTTGGCTGCTGTGGACGCGCAGCGAGGTAGGCCTGTGCGACTGCCCCCAAGTCCGCGGCCCTCGTTTCCGATCCCAGTGCACGTGGGCGTTCGCGGCCTGAAGGCCCCGGCCATGTCCCGACGGCTCAGCGCCCAGCGAGGGCAGAACATCCCAGAGGATGCCTGCTGTGAGGAGCACCGGGAGCCGCTGCGGCTGTTCTGTGAGGATGACCAAGCCCTGCTCTGCGGCCGGTGCTTCCGCCCCGAGGAGCACGAGAATCACGTGGTGAACGGAGTGCGGGAGGCTGCAGACCGTTACAGGGTGAGCTTCCGGCGGGCCCCGCGGTGAGCCTCCTGCGGCCCGCAGCGCCCGGATGTCACAGGGTGAGCCTCCTGCAGGCCCGGGAGCGCCCGGATGTCACAGGGTGAGCCTCCTGCAGGCTCAAGAGCGCCCGGCCCCGACAGGGTGAGCCTCCTGCAGGCCCGGGAGCGCCCGGATGTCACAGGGTGAGCCTCCTGCAGGCCCGGGAGCGCCCGGATGTCACAGGGTGAACCCCCTGCAGGCTCAAGAGCGCCTGGCCGTCACAGTGTGGGCGTCTTGCGGACCTCAGAGCGCCCGGCGGTCACAGGGTGAGCGTCTTGCGGGCCCCAGAGCGCCCGGCGGTCACAGGGTGAGTGTCCTGTGGGGCCCGGAGCGCTCGGACCCTGGCTGCCTCCTCTTATTAGCTGATCTGGAGGACAGAGCTTGCCTTTCCCATTCCCATTCCTCGCGACAGTGTCCTATCAGAGAATGTTAAATGAATACCATATTTAGACAAACTATAGAGCAAAGCGGACCTTGGGCTATTGGCCTTTCAGCTTCTAAGATTAAAAATCTAAAGTTTGGGGGTCCCTGGGTGGCTCGGCGGTTCAGTGCCTGCCTTTTGCCCAGGAGATCCTGGAGATCCGCCATGGATCCCACATCGGGCTCCCTGCAGGGAGCCTGCTTCTCCCTCTGCCTGTGTCTCTGCCTCTGTCTCTCTCTCTCTCTGTGTCTACCATGAATAAATAGAATTTTTTTAAAAAGATTTTTTATATAAGAGTTCTTGCTGCCCCTGGGCGGCTCAGTCGGTAAAGCATCTGATTTCATCTCAGGCATGCTCTCAGGCTCCTGGGATCAAGACCTAGGTCGGCCTCCCTGCTCAGTGAGGAATCTGCTTGTCCCTCTGCCTCTTCCTTCTCCTCTGTCTCATGTGTCGGCGCACTCTCTCTCAAATAAGTAAAATCTGAAAAAAAAAAAAAATTCTAACTGTTCTAAAGCAATTACTTTACCTGGAATTCTGTGATCTATTTCTCTGCAGAAATTATTCCAGGGGATATTGAACACATTGAAGGAGAAACTTGAAGTAGCGAAAAGCATATTGGCTGACGAACAGGAAAGAATGGTGATGATTCAGGTCAGTGCTTATTTCTAGTCTGAGCAGGGAATTACCTATAACGTTGGGCAGCAAATAACATAAAGTCAGAAGATAAATAACAAAGCAGGGAAAAAAATACTTGAAATCCATAGGTACAAACAGTGTTCCTTTCTTTACGAATAAAGAGTTGTTGAAAGTCAATAAGGAAAGACTAGACACTCGATAGAAAAATGATCAGAGAAAGGAGATTTCACAGAAGAGAAAATGCTACTGTCTTTTGAACTATAAAAAGATCCTGAACTTTGCTTATGGTAAGAGAAATACAGATTAACTCTTAAATGTGTGAGATGTCATTTGCAACCCTTGATTGACAGGTAAAAAAGATTGATAACACCATTTATACCAGTGCCACGGGGGAACGAGCATTCTGAGTACCATTGGTGACCACATAAACCCTGAAACCATTTAAAAGGCAGTTTGAGAATTACTATCCAAAATGAAGGCTAGTCATCTGTTATGCCCACATTTCACTTCTGATTTTACACCTTTTCTTCCTATTTAGCTCTATTCTGTGCCGGTATCCCAGCTTCTGGGTCTTCATCTTTTCCATTTTTAAAGAAAGTAAATGGCCACATGAGAATGGTAGAGGAGGAGAATTGACTGGCTTTCCAAGAATTTTTCAACTGATCCTCATTTTTTCAGCCTGAAGCACCATATATTCAACAGATTTTGGGGTCCCACTGTTTGCCAGGAACTATACTAGGTGCAAGGGATTTAGCAACAGGAGAGGAAAAAAATATTCTGCCCTTGTGCAACTGAAGGTGAATAAAACAAGGAAAATTAATGTTATATTTAATGTTATATGGTAAATATTATATATTCTTCAAAAAAAAAAAAAAAGCATGATGGGATGTGCTTTGAAATGAAGTGACCTTGTTCAGAAAGTGGCATTTGAGAAAACTCAAGCTGGTCAGGAATTGAGTTACGCAGCTTTGAGAAGGATCTGGTGTGTACTCAGTTGGGGTTGGAAAGGGTATAGAAGCTGGTAGATGAGGTCAGGAGATAAAGGGGCCAGTTCATATAGGGCAACTTGAACAGGTTTTTTGGTTTTTGTTTTTAGATTTTATTTATTTATTTATTTATTTGAGGTGAGAGAGCATGAGCTGGGAGGCGGGAGGAGAGGTAGAAGCCAACTCCTTGCCCAGGACCCTGGGACCATGATCTGAGCTGAAGGCAGATGCTTAACCAGCTGAGCCACCCAGGTGCCCCAGGGCAGCTGACTGACTGACTTTCTTTCTTTCTTTCTTTTTTTTTTAATTTTTATTTATTTTATGATAGTCACAGAGAGAGAGAGAGAGAGAGAGAGAAAGAGGCAGAGACATAGGCAGAGGGAGAAGCAGGCTCCATGCACCGGGAGCCCGACGTGGGATTCGATCCGGGGTCTCCAGAATCGCGCGCTGGGCCAAAGGCAGGCGCCAAACCACTGCGCCACCCAGGGATCCCCTTTCTTTCTTTCTTTAACAGTTTTTTCATGACACAGAAATAGAGACATCGGCAGAGGGAAAAGCAGGCTGTCTTTGGGGAGCCCATGTAGCTCCCAAAGGCAGATGCCTAACTAATGAGCCATCCAGGCGTCCCAGGGTAGACTTAAGTGAAATAGAGAAGAAACCTGGGGAAAGTTCTGAACAGGGATAGCTTGGTCGAATTTCCATTTTCACAGAAGCACTCTGGTAGCTGAAGTTAGGACTAGACTATTGAAGAATGAGAACAGAGGTGAGGACACCTGCAGGGGACTGTTGGCAGTAACCAGGGGCAGGGGCACAGTGACGGTGGGGATAGTGGGCAGCCGGGGTGGCTCAGAGGTTTAGCTCCGCCTTCAGCCCAGGGCCTGATCTTGGAGACCCAGGATTGAGTTCCATGTCAGGCTCCGTGCATAGAGCCTGCTTCTCCCTCTGCCTGTGTCTCTGCCTCTCTGCCTCCCTGTCTCTCTCTCATGAATAAATAAATAAAATATTAAAAAAGAAAAAGAAGGCGGGGTAGTGGTAGAGGTGGTGTGCAGTGGTCAGGTTCTTGATAAATCTCAATTCCATGGAGTCTCGTGAGGTGAAGTATCATTATGCTGGCTACTCCCAACAATCATCTCTAGCTCAGACTACAAAGTGATAAGCTTTCAGTCCATCTTCCTACTCAGCATCTATCGTTGTCTTTCATTTGTCTAAATGACTACTCAGAATCTGCATATCCAAAAACGAGCTGCTAATACATTCTCCATCTGTGGGACCCATCCCTTATTTATTTCCTTTTCTCTGTTTTGGCTACTTCGTTCTTCCAGTTGCTTTGTCTAAAAACCTTGGAGTCACCCTTTCATTCCTGTTTTCTCACACTCTCCATCCAAAGTATCAGCAAAAGCCATTTGCCCCATCTTCTAATTTTCCTTGTCTCCTCCTCTTTGTCACTGTGATCGTAGATTTCTCAGTTTTTTTTTTAAAGATTTTATTTATTTATTCATGAGAGACACAGAGAGAGGCAGGCAGAGGGAGAAGCAGGCTCCATGCAACGTGGGACTCGATCCTGGGTCTCCAGGATCACGCCCTGGGCTGAAGGGGGCGCTAAACTGCTGAGCCACCCGGGCTGCCTGATTTCTCAATTTTTAAGTCAATTAACATTTCCCCATCTTCATTTGTCCTTCTAAGATTATGTTGATGGGTTAGTTGATCTTGACTTGAAACTTTCTTTGTCCTTTGTATTTATTCCTCTTATTTCTTCCCCTGTACCTTATATTTCCTTGTGTTTATATTGGAATTGGAGATGGAAAGTGACCATAAATATTTATCTGTGGGGTTTAACTTGAAATCTATCATATCTGTGTTTGATGAAGGGAGAAGAGCAGGATTTTAAAGAGATGATTGAGTCTGAATATAGGATAAGGTTCCGGTTGATGGTTGAAGAGGAGATGAATGTCCAGAGCCAGCAAGGGTGCATATTCAACCCCAGCACGAGGGAAGACAATCAGAATCAGCTGATGGAGTTTGCCACGGAGTTGAAGGAGAAGTCCCAGGAAACACTACGGGTGAGATAGGGAAAACTGCATGCTCACAGTGTTTGGTAAATGAGAGAAAGAAGAGCTGAGCATTATACTGATTCTAGAATGAGACATCCATTGACAACCACACATGCATTGAAAGAATGTATATATTCTCCCAGCCGTTCTATATCTGATCATTGATCTTATAAATACACTTATGTGCATATAAAAAGATGTAAGAATAAAGGAATGCTGTAAAATTATTACAGTATAAAGCCCTGGTTTCGAGGTAGTCTTTGAAGCCAGACTGATGAGGTTCCTATCTGGCTTCTGCTATTTTACGAGTATCTATCTGGCTACTTTAACTTGTACACGCGTTTAACCTGTGATTTCATTCCCTTAGCTATAAAATGGGGATAACACCCCTAGTTTATAATATTGTTGTGAGGATTGAGTGTGATAATCTACATGAAGCTCTTTAAACAGTGTTTGTATATATTATGTAGTCAATACTATTAGGCATTATTATTAACATTACGATAGCAAGAGATTAAATGCAACCTATATCCATCAGTAAAGGACTCTCAAATCATATTTTGTATTTACAGTGGAATGCTTTTCAGCATTTAGTAAAGATAACAAAGCTTTATGTGTACAGATAAATTGTCTCAGGGAGCATATTTATTAAGAAAAAAACAAGCTGTGATACCAGCAATAAGGTATAATGTGCATCATTTGTGTTCTTGAAAAAACAGCTTTTGTGCTTACATGGAACATCTTTGTACGGATAAAAAACATCAGTGGCTTGATTATTTCTTACTAAGTTATTAAATTATTAGATTCAAATCTTAAGGATATAGGAAACTTTCTTAACAAAATGGCACAGGAAAATAATGTGATCTGTTTTAGTGTCATTTTCTGAATAAGTGGACTGCATGACACTGCTTCCATGTCAACATAAATATATTGTGTCAAAGAATCAAGTTTCAGTGGAGGTGTCTTAACACGGGGGGCATTGGGCCTTATCTAATCATACGTATTTCTGGAGTGGCAGGCAGCAAAGTGGGTTTAGGAGGTGGTTGAATTAGTGAATAAAAGAAATTACCACTTGTTAAATACTAATAAGGAGATGCTTTTGCAGAGACTGAATGATTTGGGGAAAGAGAACATGAATAAACTGAAGGAGAGTGAAGTCAGGCTTTCTGAACAGATCTGTAGCCTCCAAAGAATCACTGAAGAGCTAGAAAAGAAGTGTGGGGAATACACCCTAGCATTGCTCCAGGTAAGATTCCAGAAATCTTCACTACAGGATTTGAGAAATAAGAAGTGGACAATATCCATTAGGGATCAGTTCTAGAATAGTCAAGGGTTTTCAAACATACATGGAGGCTGTATAGTTATTTTCCAGGCATCAAAAGCATTATAAATTGTCTAAAATTTTAGTGTAGTGGAGAGCTAATTTAATATGAATTCTCACCTTGAGGCTATCAATAATGAGTTTGAATTAAGATGTCCCTTGATAGGGTAAAAAAATTGGTTAGTCGAATTATGTGTGATACATCAGTACAGTAGAATATTTGCAACCAGAAAAAAAGAATGAAGCAACTCCATAGTGGTAAAAGTTATTTTCAGGATCTTTAGTTAAAGTAAAGCATGCGGAACTGCTTTTTGTTTGGTTTTGGTGAATATGTGTCTATGTATAGACATATGCTCGTTAACATTCACAGACTGCCTTTGGCAAAATAAACATGAAGATTAGAACACAAACATTGAGCGGTAACCTTGGAAAAACAAGGGTGAGATTTATTTGTATAGTATTGCATATTTTAAGCCTTGTAACATGCATTACCTTCCAACAAGTAAATTATTATCTTTTTAAGACTCTATCCATCTCCCCCTGCCGCTGTGCTCATGTTTATAAAGTGAGGGCTCTTATTTTAGAAGCACTTACACATAAATCATTAGGTTCTCTACTAGGGCCAGACATACTACCAGACAGGTAAGGTAGGTGTGATTCAGTTATGCTCAGCTTCTGACCTAGCGCCATCCACCATCCCCAGTTTATTAGCAGGCTTTCAGCAGGCTTCTTCACCTCCTCAACTCTTGTTACTCATAGCATAAAAAGCAAGTAAAGGGGCAGAGTTCGATTGATGACCATTTTGGGTAAGATGGCTGAGGTGAGGTATGGACAATATGTCCCTTGGGAAATGCAAATCAAAACCACAGTGAGATAGATCCTCTCAACTGTTAAAATGGCTATCAGCAATAAGAGACGGTGGGTGCTGCTGAAGATGTGGTGTGAAGGGAGCACTTGATACCAAGTACCAAGGGATTCCTACTTGGTAAGAATATAGATTGGTCTGACCCCTACGGAAAGTGATATAGAGATAACTCAAAAAATTAAAAATAGATTTACCATATGATCCAGCAATTCCGCTTCTGGGCATATGCTCAAAGGAAACAAAAACAGGCTTTCAGAGAGATAGATGCACTCCCAATTTTGGAAATAACCCAAATGCCCATTAACAGAATGAATGGAAAAAATGTAGTATATATACAGTGGAATAGTTTTCAGCTATGAGAAAGGAAAATATCCTCCCATCTGTGACAACATGGGTAGACCTTGAGCAACTATGCTTTAAGCAAGATAAGTCAGAAAGACAGCTATTATGTGATGTCACTTACATGTGGAGTCTAAAAAAGTTAAACCTGTTTAAAAAAAAACGGAAGTAAAGTGGTACTTAATGGGGTAGGGGTGGAGGGGCATTGGTAACATAATGGTGTTTCTGGGTAAAAACTTAAAATGAATAGTAGTAAACCATAGAGATGTAATGCATGGTATAAGGGACATATCAAATGATATAGTATTATGATTGTATGATATGATAGGTATTGCCATGTCAGCAATCATTATAATATACAAGTGTATCAGAATAACACACTATACACCTTAAACTTAATAGCACATGTCAAATTTATACAATAGAAGAAGGAAAAAAAGACATCCGGATTAAATATAAAAGTTGCCAACATATCATCGGATTCATCAGGTGTCAGATTCCATATTAAATGACTATGTAGTCCATGACTATAATAAAATGAAAAAAAAAAAAACAAACCAGACATTTCCTTTGGGAATACAACAGTGATTTCAACCATTTTTCTGACTTCTATTCAGTGTTAAAATTTGATATCTGAGAATTAGCCCCACAAAGCTGGGGAAATTACATACAAATCAAGTTTCATTATTAGAAGATAGTTTTCAGGAGCAGAGCTCAGAAGAGGTGTGGCTTGAATAGTGTAACCTTATCTCTTTTTCATCCTGTAGAATGCGAGATACTCTGTGGAAAGGTAAGTTTTCCTTTTGGAAACATTGGGATGGGATTTAGGGTTTGATATGTGAGCATACAGGAATACAGATGTTGGCCTAAGTGAGGATCAGAAGGTCATGTAATGACATCCATCCTCTGAATGTGGGGGCACAGGGTCTGCACAGGTAACTGAGATTGTCCTTTCTTTAATAGGAGCGAGTCACTACTGCTTCAGTGTCTGGAGCCTGCCCAAATCACAGACCTGAGTTTATGCCAAGTGACAGGAATGAGTGGAATGCTCAAAGTTCTCCAAAGTAAGTTGACACACATTCATGATTACACGGCATTTGATTTTGTATTTGAGAACCAAGTGAACAACCTATCATAAATAGAAATAGATTCCAGAGAGCTTAAGGATTTAAAAAGACTGGAGAGTTTAATATACTATACACATTGGATAACTATCAAGAAAATAATTGTATGATCTTTTGTTGAAAGGCTTTCCTTTGCATATCCTTTCCCACTTTCCCAAGCCTGAAATGTGATCCCAAGCAGAGTCTAATAGGGGAAAAAAAAAAAAAAATTCTAGGGAAAAAATGTTGGCGCCTGGGTGGCTCAGTCAGTCAAGCATCCAATTCTTGATTTTTGACTCAGGTCATGATCTCAGGATGCTAGGATGAGTCTGTGTTCGGCTCTGTGCTCAGCAGGGAGTTGGCTTGAGGATTCTCTCTCTCCCTCTTCCTCTGCAAACCCCTCCCCCCACATGCTTGTGCTCTCTCTCTGTCTCTCTCTCTCTCTGTCTCAAATAAGTAAATAAGTCTTTTAAAAAATGGCAGCATGTATAATGAAAGACTTCCTACCCCATAGTTCTGCCTTTTTTGGAATGTCCTGTCACTGGATCCATACAGTGTGTGGCCTTTTGTGTCTGGCTTTTTCCACGTAGCCTAAAGCATTTGAGGCACATCCAGGTTTGTTCTGTGTATCAGTAGTTTATTCCTTTTTGTTGTTGTGTGGTACTCCATTGTATAAATATGCCACAGTTTATTCCTTTGCAATTCCAAGGCCACTTGAGTGTTTCCAAATTTATGCTGTAAATACTTCTTTGCGGAGTCTTATGGACATGACTTCATTTCTTTTGGTTGCATATATAGGAAAGGGATTATAAAATTTGTTTTCCAAACTGGCTGTGTCATTTTGCATTCCCACTGGTAATGCATCAGATTCAGTTGCTCTGCATCCTCACTAGCATTTGGTATTGTCATTCCATTCATTCATTCATTCATTCATTCATTCATTCATTTAAAGCAGATGTAATAGATATGTAGTTGTATATCACTTTAAATTTTAACGAACTTCTGAAATAACTAGTGATGTTGAGCATATTTTCATGTGTTTATTTGCACTTTATTATCTCTTTGAAGTGTATCTATAAACATTTTCACTATTTTTAAAATTTTCTTTTGTATTTAGTGTTGTGATTTCTTTATATATTCTAATTACCAGTCTTTTATCATACATATTTGCACATGTATCTCCCACTCTGTGATTTATATTTTTTTTATTAAGGTTTTAAATTTTAATTCTAGTATTGCCATCATAAGCGTTACATGCTCTATTTCCAACCATGTTGTTGCACAATGGCAAGATTCCATTCTTTTGTATGGTTGAGTAATACCCCCTCTTTATCCATTCATCAGTCAATGGATGCTTGGGCTGCTTCCATCTTTGCTACTTTAAAAAAGGGATGCATGTGTCCCTTGGAACTAGTGTTTTTTTATTTTGAGGAGCAAATACCCAGTAGTGTGATTATTAGATTGTAGGTAGTTCTATTCTTAACTTTTTGAAGAACTTCCATACTGTTTTCCACAGTGGCTGGACCAGTTTGCATTCCACCCACAGTGCACGAAGGTTCCTTCTCCATATCCTCACCAATACCTCTTGTTTCTTGTGTTGTTGATTTTAGCCATTCTGCCAGGTGTGAGGTGATAATCTTGTAGTTGGGATATGCATTTCCCTGATGGTAAGTGATGTTGAACATCTTTTCACGTGTCTGTTGGCCATCTGTATGTCTGATTTGGAGAATGTCTGTTCTTGTCTTTGGCCCATTTTTTAATTGGATTTTTTGGGTTTTGGGTGTTGAGTTGTATCAGTTTATATATTTTGGATCCTAACCCTTTATTATATTTGTCACTTGTAAATATCTTCTCCCATTCAGTAGGTTGTCTTTTATTTTGTTGATTGTTTCTTTCATCGTGCAGAAACATTTTATTCTTGATAATAGTCCCAATAGTTTATTTTTGCTTTTGTTTCCTTCGCCTCAGGAGACCTATCTAGAAAATATTGCTATGGCCAATGTCAGAGAAATTGCTGCCTCTGTTCTCTACTAGGATTTTTATGGTTTCTGCTCTCACATTTAGGTCTTTGATCTGTTTTGAGTTTTTTTATATAGCGTAAGAAGGTGGTCCAGTTTCATTCTTTTGCATGTAGCTGTTGAATTTTCCCAAAACAATTTGTTGAAGAGTCTGTCTTTATCCCATTGCATATTTTTTGCTTTGTTGAATATTAATTGGCCATATAATTCTGGGTTTATTTCTGGGTTTTCTATTCTGTTCCATTGATCTATGTGTCTGTTTTTGTGCCAGTACCATACTGTTTTGATTACTATAGCTTTGTAATATAACTTGAAGCCTGGAATTGTGATACCTCCAGTTCTGTTTTTCTTTTTCAAGATTGCTTTAGCCATTTGGGGTCTTTTGTGGTTCCATACAAATTTTAGGTTTGATTGTTCTAGTTCTTTGAAAAATGCTATTGGTATTTTAAAAGAGGTTGCTTGGAGTAGTATATATATTTTAACAATACTTGTTCATCCAATTAATGAGCATGGCATATTTTTCCATTTCCTTGTGTCATCTTCAATTTCTTTGATCTGTGATTCCTATTTTCATTTCACCTAATATTGTCTTTGAAGATGTTTGCATTTTTTGTATCCTAACAAATCCTTTACTACCCAAACAAAGATTTTTCTTCTAGAAGTTTTAGTTTTTACATTTAGGTCTGTTACACTTTTGGAATTATATATGATTCAAAATCTGGTGCAACTCCCCACCCCTGCCTTTTTTGTACATGTGTATATCCAGTTGTTCCAGCATAATTTGGCAAAAACACTGTTCTTCATTGAATTTACTTGTTAACACTTTTGTTGAAAATCAGTTGGTATGTACAAGCCAGGTCTACATTGACTCTAATAGGTCCATTGATCATTGTGTTTATCCTGTTGCTAGTACCACACTGGCTTGAATTTTACTCCTAGGAAGTCGTAAAATTGGCATGTGAGTTCTCCAAATTTGTTCTTTTAAAAATAATTTTGGTGAGGGACACCTGAGTGGCTCAGCAGTTGAGCACCTACCTTTGGCCCAGGGTGTGATCCTGGAGTCCCGGGATCGAGTCCCACATCCGGCCCCTGCATGGAGCCTGCTTCTCTCTTTGCCTGTGTCACTGCCTCTCTCTCTCTCTGTGTCTCTCATGAATAAGTAAATAAAATCTTAAAAAAATAATAATTTTGGCTAAAATCAGCTTATTGGCTTCTAAAAAAAAAATGGGGACTTCATCTGGTATTGCATTACATGTATAGATTAATTTTGGATAAAATGATATATTTTTATTTAGGTCTTTGGTCTCACTTAATCAGTGTTTTGAACTTTTCAGCAAACCCATATTGGGCATACTAGATGGATCCCTAAGTATTTTATTTTTTTAATGCTAATATCCATTTCTAATTGAAATTGCATTCATTTCTAGTTTATTGCTAGTATATAAAAATATTTGTATATATTTACATTGCATCTTATGACTGTGCTAAATTCATTAGATCTAGTGGCTTTTTTATAGATGCTTTGGGATTTTCTACAAAGATACTCAGGTAATCTATTAATACAGGCAGTTTTATTTCTTTCCAATATGTAAGCCTTTTCTACGTATTTCTCACCTTGTACTGGTTGTAGGACTTCTAATGTTGAATAGAAGCAGTGAGAAACATTTGTCTCATTCTTGATCTTAGAGTACAAGAAAGCATTAAGTCTTTCACCTTGAACTTTGATGTTAGCTACAGGTTTTTAATAGTTGCCTTCCATCAAGTTAAGGAAGTTCTCCCTCTATTCCTGGTTTGTTAAAACTTTTTATCATGAACAGATGTTGAGTATTAGATGATATTTCTGTATCTACCAAAATATTCATAATTTTTATTATTAATATGGTAAAATATATTTTTTCTTATGTTGGCCCAGCCTTGCATTCCCAGAATAAACTCTTGGTAATGATGTTTTATCCATTTTACATATTACTGGATTCAGTGTGCTAATACTGTAAGAATTTTTGCATTTATGTTTTTAAAGATTTTTTTTATATTTATTTATTAATGAGAGGCACAGAGACAGAGAGAGAGGCAGAGACACAGGCAGAGGGAGAAGCAGGCATCACTCAGGGAGCCTGTCGTGGGACTTGATCCCAGGTCTCCAGGATCAGGCCCTGGGCTGAAGGTGGCAGTAAACCACTGAGCCACTGGGGCATTTATGTTAATGAGGCATTGATATGTAGCTTTCTTTTAATCATCCACAGACACTTTAATTTTATTTTCATTTCTAGATAATCTGTTCTTTGTCGAATCCATTTGGTCTTGCTTTTTTAGCTTCATATATCCTATAGACATTTTTTTAAATAAATTTATTTTTTATTGGTGTTCAATTTGCCAACATTTTTTAAGCTTTCTTTTCCCTTAAAACATGCATGCAAAAATTATTTTAGCTCTGTGCCTAGTAATTACAATATCTAAAGTTACTCAGATTTATTTCTGCTAGTGTCACTCAATAGTGCCTTCTCACTCTGGGTGTGGGTTTGATTTTTTAACAGCAAGCCTCGCTTTTTTCCTTGGATATTCTTTTTAGAAATTGAGTCCAAGAATGAATCCATGAAAAAAAAAATAAAAATAAATAAAAATATTAAAAAAAAGAATGAATCTATGCATTATTCCAGAGAGAATTTGCATTTGTTTCTGCCAATCTTCTGGAAATACTAAAAGCCTGGGACAACTCAAATTTAAATTTCAGGGCTTATGGCTTTTAAGACCACCCTAATAATGATAAGAATTGGGCTTGAAGTCCAGAAATTGAAGTTCATTTGGCAACAAAACTTGCTGCTGGATTAGATATTAAAGTGGGAAATAAGAGACTACTCTGGGCTTTAGGGTTTAGCAGCTGAAGAAATTAAGCATGCTATTAACTGACGTAGAAACCAGAAAGCGGTAGTTTGGAAGTTCCATTTTGGACATAGTATGTATGAAATGCCTGTGTTATTTCTAACTGGTATTTGGTAGCATCTTTATGAAGTAAGCCTTAAATATATAGAAGTTATTGAAAACTGAGGCTAGGCGAAGTCACCTAGGGAGAAAGGAGTACAAGTTGTAAAAAGGAAGAGCCAGTCTTAAGCCCTGAGAAACCACAATATTTAATGGTTGAGGAGAAAGAGAGAAGAGAAGGAACGGTTTGAGATATGAAGGCAACTGTCACTTTCATTCAAGTGTAAGAAATCACATTGAGCTTCCTTGTTCTCAGCTTGATTTTTTTTTTTTTCTGGAGGATTCCCACAGGTTTTTCCAGCCTCTACTAATATGTTCTTTTGATTTACCCAATATCAAGAGCCTGCTGGCAACAATTTCTAGGCATCTGTGTCATACTCTGGTGATATTTAAGGTGAGAGCATTTCAGTCCCAGGGAAAAGCCAGGAATCCCAGGGAATCAAGACCAGTCACAGGGAAAAGCCTGCTCTGTTAGGAGATTTTAATAAATCTTTAGGGGAACAAAGCCTGGAGTTCAGGCTTGGAGATCTTTATGGGGAGTAGAGCTGGCTCCCAGCTGGTACATGTGAGGATTGGATACTGTTTTTACAGCCTGCCAAAGTTCCTTTCTGGTCTGACAGGTACTTGTAAACCTTTGTGTAGTTCATTACTCTTCCTCCTCAGATTGCATCTCCTTCCATTCTCTTATCCACCTTTTCTTCTGTGATGTCCAGTTCTTGAAACAAAGCTCAGAAGTTCCCTTTCCTGAACTTGTAGATAGCCTCTTCCTTTTCTTTGCCTGTGACTTGTACCCATTCGTTGGCATGCCTCTTCATGTTAGAAATCCTCAGTCTTTGGTGGTGGCATGGATGACTTACTGAATGCAACTGAGTTTCTCTCTCCCTGCAGGAGCTGTCACTTTGGATCCTAATACAGCTCATCCCTGTCTGGTCTTATCTGAGGATCGGAGAAGTGTATGTCTCAGGAATGTCCAGCAGGATGTGCCTGACGGCCCCGGGAGGTTCATCTTCGAGGCCACCGTGTTGGGGGTGGAGAGCTTCACTTCAGGGAGGCACTACTGGGAGGTGGATGTGGAAAAGGCAACCAGGTGGCTGTTGGGGATATCTGAAGACTCTGGCAGTGGACACAGTGACCTACCCACTGCTGCCAGAGATAAAGTCTTACTCATAGGTTCTATGATGGGAACTAATTATACGTTCTGGGTCTTTCCCCCTCTGAAGAAAGTCTCCTTGAGAGGAGAGCAGATGCACAAAGTTGGAGTCTTCCTAGACTACAAGTATGGGCAGTTATCCTTCTATGATGTGACAGATAGATCTCTCATTTATAATTTCTCTTCTCTTACCTTCCGGGGAGCTGTCAGACCCATATTTTCTCTTTGTATCCCAACTGGAGGCACAAATTCTGACTCACTCAGTGTTTGCTGTCCTCATGTTGCGTCTTGTGATGTTACTGTTAGCCCACAGGCTTCCTCAGCATGAAATCTAAGACTACTAGGGGCCAGGAAGTGAAGAGCTTGACTTTGTAAAAGGATCTATATAAAGTAATCCAATAAAAGTTTCTAACACTTGTTTGAGTTGGAATACAGTTCATTACGCCAGAACTTTTACATTCAAGAGGCTTTCAACACCTATTTAGTGAAAGGGGTTACATTGAAACTGAGTCATGAGTGATAATAATGGAAAGACCCTACACTAATTTGAACAATAAATGCATATGAAGCATAAAATGGGGAGCTTACAAAAGTAATATAGTCTGGAAGTTCTAGCACTAAGTTAAGGACTCTTGCGGTTTCTGAAAACATGATTAAATATAATCAAGACTAGGTTTGAGGATATCCTCTCAGTGACATATGAAATGAAGACATCTTATGACTGATCCTATTACTGATGGTGTCAAGACTTCCTAATATCATTCCAGAGAACTTCATTTCCCTGGGTAGTCTATTTGGGTGGGGAGGAGGTGTCACAGAAAATACGGATATTTTAAAATTATTTTTTTCAACATATTCTACTACTGTCTTACAAGGAAAATTAGATTTCTTAAAAGAAGCCTGATAATTCAATGCTTTGATATAAGCAGTATGTGTATTGTATTTTCTCTCATCTTTCTCTGTTTGATGATCCACTGAAAAGTTTTTTCCTGCAGCCTTGCTTGGGTGGTTCTACAATTCTGAGAAGATGACATGTTTCAAGAGGGACTTTTATGTAAAAGATTATCCTACTTTATTTCCCTTAATATTTTTAACAACCTATAAGTATATATTAATCTTATTCCTCATGTAGAAGTAGACACAGAGGTGATTTAATGTTCCTAAGTCACATAGCTATTAGTGTTCAGTAAGTAACCAGGATCAGGAATTAAGTCTGGATCATGGAATCAGAAAGCCAGCTCTGTCTCAGGTCCTGTTTCTTACACAATAGGTTCCTGTGTGTGATGAGGTAGGTCGGTGGTCTCATTCAAGTTTCCTAAAAAATGCAAGCTGGTTTCTAAAGGAAGTGGTGGAAACATTTATATTTGTTTCTATAGATATATATATATATTCTTATATTTATTAGAGTATGAAGGCACCTGGGTGGCTCAGTTGGTTAAACATCTGCCTTAGGCTCAGGTCCTGATCCCAGGATCCTGGGATGGATCCCCATATTGGGCTCCCTGCTCAGGGACCCTGCTTCTCCCTCCTCTGCAGCTCCCCCTGATTGTGCTCTTTCTTTCTCTCTCAAGTAAATAAATAAAATCTTAAAAACAAATAAACAAACAAAAAAACAAGTCCGGGAGGAGCAGAGGAACATGGATGAGCTGACTATGCTGAGTGTAGGGCCAGGAGTGGGACTCGATCCCACAACCTGAGCTGAAATCAAAAGTCTAAAATCAAGAATCGGAGGCTCAACCATCTGAGCCACCCAGGTACCCCTGGAACTGATTTATTTTTTATTTTTTTATTTTTTGGAACTGATTTTTAATTGACTATTTAGAATTTTCAAAATTTGCTTTTACTGCATCATATGGATAATTTGTATGTGGGTAAAGATGTAAGTTTAGAAGAAATATTTGCACATCTTGACAGCAAATCACAAGAAGCCTTGGGGAAAAATAGCCCTGATCTGAGAAGTAGGGGGTTAGGTTAGGTGAGTGAGTTGAAAGTAAAACAATTATTGGAAACACTGAGATTCAGGACTTGGAGTAGTGGCTCTCAAGCCTCTTTACAATTTCCTGAGTGAAATGATGCATCATGTAGGCAAATGTGAGAATTAATGTCTCTGATTCTAAGTCTCTACTGTCATCTTGCTTCAAATTTCTCCTGCTTCTGCAACTTAACTATTAAGAACTATTTCAAAAACTTAGAAACCAGGAGAATACAGTATGTCTTTTCAGTGCTGCTCTGGGACATCAACAAGCACAAAAACATTTAAATTCTCTAGAAAAATGTATCTGCATTTGACTTTGGTACTTACCATTAGACGAGAACCCAGATACTGAAGTTTAGGACTTAGTATTTATTTATTTTAGTAATCTCTACACTCAGGAGGGGGCTTGAGCTCACTACCCCAAGATCAAGAATCATGCTCCTGGGGCAGCCCGGGTGGCTCAGTGTTTTAGTGCTACCTTCAGCCCAGGGCCTGATCCTGGAGACCCAGGATCGAGTCCCACGTCAGGCTCCCTGCATGGAGCCTGCTTCTCTGCCTGTGTCTCTGCCTCTCTCTCTCTCTCTCTCTCTCTCTCTCTCTCTCTCTCTCTCTCTCTCTGTGTGTCTCATGAATAAATAAATAAAATATTAAAAAAAAAAAAGAATCCTGCTCCTCTGGACCAGCCCGATACCCCTGAACTTACATGTTATATGAGGATTTGTCTGGTAGGAAAACGACCCCCTGGTTTTATTGCCCTGTAGAATACTAACCAGTTTTGTATCTAACCTAAATAATCTTACTTTAATATCCTTTTCATAGTTTTGATGATCTGTAAATTGCTTCTCATTCCTCTTGGAACCAACTTTTTCTGATTCCCTAACAAATTGCTGAGTTGAACAAAATTTTGACCTGTTTCTGTGTATATTTGCATGAGAATCATGTGATTAAGCCTTTGAAAGAAGAGCTTTGACACAGCCTACTGACCCTCTGAACAGAGATGCCCCAAGCACCCTTGCAGCCACAAGGACTTTGCACGTGCAAAACTCTATACTTTAGTCACCACTGCTCCATCCCCATTTTTTTGCAAACTCTGACTCATTCTTCACATCTTAGTATAATATAAGTGTTATTCTTAAAGGAGCCTTCCGTAGCATCCTTAACAAGAATGAATCCTGGGGCATCCCTTGTACCAGATTCTTGTTATGGAAAGCCCAGTTGCAATTTTTATATTTGGGCAATTCTTCAATTGCCTTCCCCACGAGACTGTAAACTCTTTGAGAGTAAGAACTATGTCTGTTTCTGTTCATCCTTCTAATATTCTGGTGGTAAATACCCCTGAGCATGTAAATTCTCAAATATATACTGAAAGAGAGGAAAAAAGCACTTAGTATGGTAGCTTGTGGGGCTGTTGGGTGATGCCAGAATGTCAGAGTCCCGGAGTGGAGAGATGTACCTGTGTCAAAACTAAAAAATGAGTAAAGAATATTCATATGAAGTGACTTAGTTGGCTGAGGCAGCCATAATAAGTACCACAAAATGGATAGCGTGAACAACAGGTGTATTACCTCCTAGTTCTGGATGCTAGCCATCTAAAAATCATGGTGTTTATAGAGTTAGGTCCTTCTGATGACAGTTGCATGTCACTTTCCTAGCTTCTGGTGGTTTGCTGACAGTCTTTGGTGTTTCTTGGCTTATTGATAACACCCCCTTCTCTGTCTTTATCTTCACTTGGCATTCTCCCTATGGCTCTGTCTCTTCACATGACTTTTTCTTTTTAATGAGGGAATGAACCATTTATATTGGATTAGGGCCCACCCTACAGTATGTCTTCATTTTAACTTAATGACCCTATTTATAAACAAGGTCACACTCCGGTACAGGGAGTTAGGACATCTTGTGCATATGTCAGGGGAAGTAGAGACAATGACAGTTGAACCCATAGTAAATTGGTTTGTCTAGAAATTATTTTTAATGTGCAGTAGCAGGTTTGCAAATTCGGTTTATCCTAAAATCACCTGAGGAGCTCTTAAAAATCTGAATATTTAAGCCACCCCTCTTGACACACGCCAATATCTTCAAGTTTTGGGTTGGAACCCAGGCATCATTTTTCCAAAGCTCCCTTGGTGGTTACAATATGCAGACAAGATTAAGAAGAAAATTAGTAGAGACAAGAAACAAAAATGGTTTGGTCAGTGGCAAAGCCTTTTGTATGGCTTGCAATTGCATGTCTTAAAACCTAAAGACATGGTGATAGTACTGGGGAGGTGGACTATTTGGTTTTCAGATGAGAGGAAGTTATACATGGTCTCTAGTGATGAGCAAGTGTGCGTAGTTCACATGACTGGGACTACCAATCAGACTGCTGTTTAAGGAAAATTGTTGGTAATGTATAATTAGAAATTGCTTTAGGAGACCATATGTCTTGGAACTCTGGGCTAAGTAAGGGAAGGATATTGGATCCTCAGAGCCTCCAGTGGTTGGGAACATCTGGGATTATCCAACCACTCTGGGGAGCTACTGCTACCCTTAAAACACTTTACATATGGCAAGGTTTTTTTTTTTTTTTTTTTGCTTGGGGTACTTTTAAGTTAAAAACCCAGTTTCATTCTCTGGTTATAACTTGGAAATAGTGCTCTACAAATGTGTAGCAAAGTCCAGCTGTGAGGCTCTTTATAGCTGAACTACTGATACCTTTCTGGGTTAAGAATAAGGGAAGGCTCACAGCTGCTGCCAATCTAGACCTACTCCTACCTTCAGTTGAGAGTCAGGGCAGGCTGCTTGAAATCATCTGTCTGGGAATAAAAGAAGGAAAGGTAAGTGACCTCACTGCAGTTAATTTTCTTGATCTTGTATAAAGCAAGGAAAAGATAAAGAGAAGAATAAAGAATACATGGAGAAGTCATTTGAGGTTCTGATTTCTTGGCTTTTCTGATTAGAGTGTGATAAACATCATCCATCAGTGGTCCATGGAAGTTAAAAAGCACATAGACAGGGAATGTGAAAAGATGGAGAAGGTTACAATTTAGTTGTGTCTTGACAAATTGGAAAGTTGAGAGAATGGGAAATTTGCCCCTGAAAAGAACCTAGTGTCAGGTTGGAAACTTATAACCACAAGAGAAGAATTCTCTGCAGCAGATGAATGGGGTAGAATGACAAAAAGGATATTTAATTTAAATATTACATATTAAGGTAATTTAAGTTTGTAATCTATTGTCTGCAAGGTAAAGTTCTAAATACTTTATATGTATCATCTCATTCTTTTAACTCTAAGAGGTAGATTTTTTACTTCTAATTTACAGAGACAGACATGCTAAAAATCACCAAATAGTAATACAGGCTTAAACTGGCAATTT